AAAAAAAAAAAAAAAAAAAAAATTTCAGTGACAGTTTACTATATTTCTCATTGTATAATTAATAAACCTATGTTTTCATTTCATCCATGAATACTAAACTTAATTTTACTTTGCATCTAAAAAATGATCCAACATAAATGTCATATTCTAGGCCTGCAAGAGTAAGGTCAGAATACGGCCTCTGGTAAACTGATGTGATAAATAATCATGCCTTATGAAATTTTGTTTTATACCTCATAAAACATAACCACTTTCCATTTCAAAATTTCTGCAGGAAATGGGAATGTCTTTAGCAAACCTAAGAAAACAGGAAATGAAGCATTATTATATCACTATAGCATCATCTGTAAGTTAAAGAAGAAAAGTCACAGGCCAGCCATGGGGGCTCACATCTATAATCCCAGCACTCTGGGAGGCCAAGGCAAGAGGATTGCTTGAGCTCAGGAGTTTGAGACCAGCCTGAGGAAGGAGACCCCATCTATACTAAAAATAGAAAAATAAGCTGAGTGTAGTGGCAGATGCCTGCAGTCCTAGCTATTCTAGAAGGTGAGGCAGGAGGGGTGTGTTTGAATCCTGGAGTTTTAAGTTGCATGACTGCACTCCAGCCCCAGTAACAGAAAGAGACTCATAAAACAGAAAAAAAAATTCTTTAAGGCCACAAATAAGTTAAAATTTTATCTACTACTTTTAAAAAATGTCAGAATACATAAAACACTATTACCATCAATCTGGAACACATGCTGATAGGCATTATACCCTCATCAGCTATTTCAGATATTTGATGGGCAGGTTGTCAAGAAGTCCTTTAGCACTGTCTGAAGCTACAATCTGTACATACAATTCCTCCATAGCAATAAATACCATTTTGAATTGTTGAAAAAGGAACTTTAAGAAGAAAGTTCCTTCTCTATTTCTCATTACTCAAAAAAGCAGAAAGCAAAATAGGATTTCTATTAGAATTTTTCAAAATTCTAAACTACCACATGTAAATAATTTACATTTGTGAAAAGGAATTGTGTTCATGACTTATATTAGCAGGCAGGACAGAGTAAAAATTGGAAAACAATGTCCGTGTATTATTAACATGACCTAAAAGAATTCGAGTGGCCAATTTCCATAACCTTTACTAAATTTCTGACAGTGACTTTTACTGTATAAAAA